TGAGAGATACAATTTTTGATGGAAAAGTTCAAGAAATGGTATTTCCAAATGATTATCCAGATGAAAAGTTATGTGGTAAACCAAAAGGAATGAAGGTAATTCTGCAGGAAAGAGGATTATGGAGGTCAAATCTAAAAGCATATTGTAAGAATAGTAATGTTTCTCTTGAAGAGAACTTAACATGTTGTGCCAGACATATTTTAGCTTCCCAGGTTGACTTCAAAAATCAAAAACCCCTGCTTCAGGAAATAATCAAAGCAAAAGGTCACAAAGTGGTGTTTTATCCAAAATTCCACTGTGAATTGAATTATATAGAAATGTATTGGGGTGCTGCCAAAAGGTATGTAAGACAACATTGCGATTATACCTGGAAAGGTTTACAAGAAAATATACCAAGGGCCTTTGATTCTATATCATTGAAACAAATAAGAAAATATGCATTAAGATCAGTGAAGTATATGGAATGTTATAGGAAAGGCTTAACAGTTTTACAAGCAGAATATGCTTTGAAAAGATATAAATCACATAGAAGAATACCTGATAATATTATGGAAGAAATTGATAGAAATAATGAGTAAAAATCCTTTATCGCGTGATTTATTTTTTTAACTGTATTTTTGTAATGAAAGTAATTAAAAAAAAATTGAATATTTTTATCACCAATAAGTTGAAAATTTTTCTTGAATTTGATACATTGGCGTAGTAATTTGATGGCTTATGATGTTACGCACTGTACAAGAAGAATCAATAAAATTTCATATCCAAACACCCACCCCAAAATTTTAATTATAAATTTACTACCCTTTATTTTACAATTTTTAAATAACGGGTTTTAAAAAAGACAAGAGGGACCAAAAAACCGATTTATCAAAGTGAGTATTGTTAGAAGAGAGAGTAATTGAGAACATTATTAAAAAAATGGCAATTATTGATCATTTTAGTTTCTATGTGATTTTTCATATTTTAGTATTTAGATGATTTTGGATTTCCAAAATCATTGGCACAAACACTTATATACTGATATTGAAGATTATATAATTTTATTCAGCATCTGAGGTAAACTTGGCACCATCATCATCACTAAATACTGTTTGAATATCAGTAATAATATTTTCGATTTTTATAATAATAGCTGTGATAGGTAGGATTTTATCGAAAGAAAAAATTCAGTTCCAAGTGATGTTTAGAAAGTCTAGTGAACAACAGCTTCAGCACAGGAATACTCTGTCTTATCCAAATACTCCAAGCAGGTTGTAGGAATGCCCGGTGAAGAATAACTTCAACGATACAAAAAACTAATATGCTATCATCATATATTTATTTTATTTGTTTTATTTGATTGGGTTATCTTTGCTTAGTATTAGGATTTGATAAATAAATATTATAATTTCCCATACATAACCGATCGATTAAAAAATAATAAAGAATTTAGGATAGCAAAACTTTATTATTACTGATGCATTTATTTATTTTCAGCCTCAAGAGGAAGATTGCAATATATAAATAATAAACTAGAGAACCACTAATGTACTTTTTTTATATTAAACAAAGAATTTACAACACTATGATCTATCTTAAAATAAAATTATTTAGGTATATACAAAAAAGACATATTTTTCTTGATTGGTTAACATTTCAATGTTTCAATAATGACAATTCTAAAAAATAATATTCAATTTATTATTTAATTGATCCCTTTTGATGACATAAATATACATATATTTTTTCTAATGATAAACATTATTTTACAAAATTATATTTTAAAAATTTTAAAAATTTAAAAATCATAGTGAAATCATGAATTAAATTAATTATCATTATCATAATCTTCTAATGAAACTTGATGTGATTCATCTTGAGAAACTGGACTATAATTATATCTATTGGCAGATCTAGAACCAAAACCTGGTATAGAAAGTTTCGAGAAAAATCTTGAAACAGATCTTGGCATTCTGATTGAGTAAAAAATATCTTCGATTGTTGATAAAATTGATCCAGAACTGTGATATGTATCTCCAAGACGAATATGACTATAATTATAATGAAAGGAGAGAACAAAAAAAAATCAATATAATTAATTAATCAATAATAATCCACAAAAAAAATAAAGACTATCCTTACCCTCTTGAACCTCCACCATTTTTGTATATTAAATATGCTGTCATGATTCCTACAGAAATAAATATTACAATAATAAAGAATACCCAGAAACTTGTTGAGCCAACTATTCGTCCAGGACATGGTATTTTTTCACCCATATAATTTTCTTCACCCCCTTTACATGAGCTCATTTTAACCTTTCTATACCTATATAATAATAATATGTGGTAAATAAACATCTAAAAAGCATTTTACTAAATAAAATATCTCCTATATAAATAATAATATTTAAAATTACCCTATTGATTTATAATAATGATCACTACCACTAGAACACATATCATTTGGATCTTCAGCCAAAGGCTGGGCACCAGGGAATAATTCACATTTATCACTACCATTTTTACGGACATAATTGTAATCGCTTTAAATATAAATAAATAAACGGTTACAATTTAGAAATTAGTAATGTTAATTGGTTCTGAAACAAAAGTTCTTTGACTTACCATTCAAAGTCATGCATGGTGCAAACACAATCCTTATCAATTGTTTTAGGTTGAATAAGTTCGTCGCCAATATAACAGTTCTTTTTAACTATTCTACGGTGATATCCGCTCTACAAATAACAGATATTAAATTTTTATAATAAGAATGAAAACTTTTTAAATAAAATTTTTATTAGACATACCTCACGACCAAACAAACATTTTTCTGATCCTCCTATGTGAGTAGGATACCATAACTCAAAATCATCATTATCATCATCATTCATGTCCAATTTACCTTTTAATAAATAACATTAAAAATTAAAATATATTTAATAAATATTTTAATAAAAAAAGTTATTGATTGATTATGTGGAGGAAAAAAAAATTCTTACATTTTCTTGAAAGCTTGCCTTCGAAATTAAGATGAATTATTACTTCTTTGTTATAGTTATTTTGAGGGCTACCTCTCAAGATAAACCTCCTACTAATTCCACCAGGTACTGTAGCAATATCACGTACTCTGACAAGTTCGGTTGAAAATTTAAATTCAGACCATGATTGGCCTTCATCAAATGAATACCTACAAAATCAACATCATTCATATTATTCATATATTCATTATTGAATAATAAATTCCGAAAAAAGGAGGGAATCAAATTGAAAAAAAACTTACAATACATGATCTGTAGGTGACTTATCATCCACTATAACTATAATTGCACCTTGATCTCCAAATTCATACATATAAGCACCTTTTTTAACTTCTCTCCATGTGAATCCTGCATCATTTGTCAGGTAAGTGTTACCCTCCGAGTATGGGGTTAAATAATCTCCAACATTTCCTACACCCATCATTAATCCAACAGCTGTACTACTACTGAATGCATCACGAGGGTCTCTTCTTTCTGTATAACTGTGAAGATGCAAATTACAATCCTAATAATAACAACAATGTAAATTACAGTGTTAAAAAAATACCAGTCATCTAATACTAAATTCATCATTTGCAAAAAGAAATTGATACAATACAGTGCATTCATATTTTTGACCGTTTGCATCTTCTTTAGGAGGATTTAAAAAGCTCCATGTGTTTCCTAATATTATAAACATCACATTTATTAGAAAGGAGAAATAACCTGGACTACTGTTCATTCAAGACTCTTAAGTTTCATGCCAAACAGCCTAAAACAAATATATATATATATATATACTCCTTGATAACTTACCATCATTAAATGTTATTTTAGATTTTAATTTTTTATTATTGCCCATATTAACTTCATGAACATTACCAACAATGTTTGCCATTGAAATTCCAACAATTCCTCTCATTTTCTCAAAATCAACAAATCCACGAACATCACGATTAACATGTTCCAATGAAAGTGAATAGTAAGTTCCATTATAATTAGATTTTAAAATGTTTCCCCATTGATTATTCGTTAACGATGATGTGGTAACATGAAGTATGATTGAATGTGTGGTAGATTCTAAAACAGTAAATGCCTTTTGAATTTTTGATTTGGGTGAAAAAAGATTGTACGTTAGTAAATGATTAAAATGCTGTCAAATAATGTAAAAAATTATCGATATTGATATTGGTATAATTATAATTATTATTACATTATTTGTTATTTGCATATTTGGTGGGAATTTCGCATCAGCAAAAGTATTACCATCAATAGAAATCCAAAGATGAATATTTTGTCCTGAAGGTAAAAGCTATATATGATAAACAACAACAATAATATAAATAATTGATAAAATAAAAATCAATAATAATTGATAATTAATGACTAAATATTAGTAATTTAAACTAACCTCTGCAACCACCATATATTCTTCAAAGGTGGCAAGACCAATAATGTTATCAAATAATTTATTTTTTTCTGATCTGAAATAGTCTGTACTAGAGATAAGTTGAAGTGGATTGTTGATAAATGAGAATTGTGAACCTGATTTTTCAAGATATGATTCACAAAATATCAATGTGTCCGATGTCTTAAATTTAGCATCTCTTGCCCATGTACAAACTTTCACATATTTGTTTAACTCTGTCCAAGATTGTCCATTCGTTGTTGTATAATAAGCAACTGCATGACAATTAGGTGAAAGAATAGACTCACAGTCTACACTTCCTGTATAAATTAACCAGTCCGGTTTAACAGGATGGAAATCAAGAACAGGTATTTGAAGCAAGTTAGGATTCATTTCAACACTAAGTTTAATGAAATTGGCTCCAGAATCAATAGTCATATAATGTTCTTTTGAATAAGTAATAAAATATGCCTAATATTAGAAAGGAGGAAAAAAAAAATTTGTCATTATTTTTATCCTGAAAAAATTTTTTTTATAGTTACTGAATGCTTAATTTTCTACTACTTACACGTTCTTTGAAATATGGATTTTGGAACATTGCAACGATGTTAACGCCTTTTTCCATAAATGAGGGCATTTTCCATATAAATCCTTGGTCATAACTTATCCAAACTTCGTTATTTAGTGTACGTATAGCAATAGTCTCATTATTGCCAAAATAGATATAATCCATGATAATTGATTCAAATGTCGTCTAAATAATATAAGTTTATAATGAATCTATATTAAAAAAGACAGGAATATATGCTTGTTATTATCATGAAAAAGTATTACAATATACATACCATTGAAGTGGCTATTTCAGTATCTAAATAACATTAACATATAAAAACAATATATTTAGATATAAACAAATTATCAACGTGTTCATCAAAAAAACCTAGTTAACAATTATTATTATTATTGAACGGTCACACTTACTTTCTGTGCTTTCACATTTCTTTTTAATTTTCTTTGCCCAGTCAACTCCACCTACACATTGTGATTTCGAAATTTTAACATATCCACTATTTCCTTCATATTCGCCTATACATTTAGATGGTCGCTCTTCGTCATGACCATACAATTTACAAATATCACCTTCACGCCAATAATTGAAAGCGCTTTTATTTTTTTCAAATTTTTTAAAAAATATATATTTCAAATTAATTAATCACAAAATAAAATTAAAAAATATATATATGCATTTATGTATGTAAATTTTTACCATTCGAAATCAGCTTTAGTACATTGACATTTTTCTTCACTCTTATGAACAAGACCTTCCAGGTCACCAATTCTACATTTTTTATCAGGTTTACGCCTCCAATATTTTGTCTAGTGTATTTATAAATATGTACACATTTCATCATTATTAATAAACTCATAATTTTGAGCAAAAATTATAAAATTATAAAGTTTGTAGACAATATTCACTTTTAAGCCTAGTATACATTCATTAGAACCACTCGTAGGCCACCACAGCTCAAAATCATCATGGTCTGACCCATCCTTGGCAAGTATACCTAATAATTGTTCAATTAATAATATAAAAACAATTATTAATATTATATTCTTTTTGTTATGATAAAAATTTATTAATGTCCTACATTTTCTATCTTCTAATTGAGAAAAGTCAATAGTGACAACAACCGGTTGTGCTTGACGTGCTGAGGTTGGAGTAGTATGACCAGTCAAGATAAATTTCATACTCGAAGATTTTGAATTGGTTGTAAGAAGGGATACACGAACAGGTACATTTGAGAATTTATATTCTGACCAAGTTTTTCCATAATTCCAACTATACCTAAATATATAAATCATAATTACAATGATTAGTGAAAATATATAAAATTAAAAAAAAAACCAGATTCTGTTATTAGACTTACAATATCTTAGTAGTTGGAGCTTCATCATCAACTATCACCATTATTGTTCCTTGATCTCCAAACTCATATAAACTTTCACCACGTCTTACTTCTGTCCAGGTACTTCCACCATCTCGACTTAAATAAGTGTTACACTCGGTGTAAGGCAAAAGGCTAGGTCCGATATTACCAACACCCATTAACAATCCAATAGCAGATGGTGCACTAAAAATATTTCCAACTCCATGAATAGTTGTGCGCCCATGAAGATTAAGATAACATTGATCAAGACATCCTGGACTTTCAACTCGTATACGCTGCCAAGTAGCTCCATCATTAAAACTAATCAGTGTCTTGATCTTTTTCTTTGAACCAGTTCCTAATTCATTTGTATTTTCCACTTGATTTGCCAATATAATGCCCTCAATCCCTTGAACCTTTTCAAAGTCTACATTTCCAAGACTGTTACGATTTGTGTTATCCAAACTTAAAGAAAACAATTCACCGTCTCCATTAGATTTGAATAATGTTCCATATTCTGATCCAGCATCAATTGATTTATAGGAATCAAGGAAAACTGCACCAGTAGTTGATTGAAGGATTGTATATGCTTGCTTGTCAACCCTAACATTTGGTGGGAATTTAGCCTGGTTAAATTTTTCGCCGTCTTTCGACATGTATAAGAATAATTGACCACGGACTTCCTATAAAAAAATAAGCAAATAAATAAAGGTTTATTTAAAAAATTATTTCAAAAAAACATTCATTTGATTTTCATTCATTCATTCACTTGATTAATTAAATCTATAATTGGATTGTCTATTTGTTCAACTTACAACTGCAACAGCCATATATTCATCAAAAACAAAAAATTCCAAAACGTCACTTAAAATTACTTCACTTGAAGATGTTGGACTATCTTTTTTGATGAGTTGAAGTGGATTACTTTCGGTAGATTTTCCGCCTAATATATCTTGTGATATTGTTGATTTTTTGTCCTTGTACGAAGTACAAACAATAGATTCCTTTTTGATTTCATTGAATTTGAAATCTTCTCCGAATAAACATTTTTGAACCCAAGTCTCCACCAGTTTCCATGTTACACCATTATCAGGAGAATAATGTGCTTCTGAGTGGCAATTTGGACTTGGACAATCAGTACCACCGACAAATAACAACCAATCAGCTTCTTTAGGATGGAAATCAAGAAGTTGAAGTCCTAACTTGTTTGGCTTAATAGGAAGGTTTTCTATTTGAGAGATTGTTTCACCAAGATCTTTAGTCCAATATAGTTTATCATCCTCTGTAAAGAAATAGGCTCGTTTAGTATCTAAATCATGTGGATACATGTATGTAACTTTTCCAAGTTTATCAATTGGTGCCCAATTTAATCCCTCATCAGCACTTCTCAAGACTTGACCAGTGGTTGTTTTAGCAATGATAACAGTCGAATCAGGAAAATAGAAAAATGATGACTCAAATTCTTGGTTGATGGTTTTATGATAAATCTCACCAGGAATATATACGGCGTCAGATTTATCACAACTTTTTACTACGGCTTCATCCTTTTTTATTGCATTAGGTAGAGAACTGTCACATGTATTTCCTGGAATAAGCCGATATCCTGACGAATCTTCATATGTTTGGCTAGCAGATCCAGGCCTACACTCATCAGGTTTCAAGTAATGTGGTCCAGAGCGAACACATGTGTTACTTGCTGGATCAAGAGTAAAATGAAAATCACATTCGTAATCTTCGTCAGTACATGGACAAGGCTTCTCTTCTACGGTGAGGTCTTCGTATTTTCTACCAACATAACAATCAGCATCTTCCTTCTTACGATAATATTCAGAAGTGTGACCCATCAGACAATCAGGACCATTCTCTAATTTTCTTGCGGTCCATTTCTCGTAGTCGTTACCATTACCCATTTCACATTTACGGCTAAAAAGATTTTGAAAATCCAATTGGAAAATAAAATGCCTAAACCTTGCCGTGCCACCATCTTGATGGTCTGAAGCAAATGTTCCCAAAAGTATGAATTTTTGAGTTGTTGATTCTGGATCTGTTGTAAGCATTCTTGCATGTACTTTCATTCCAAGATCGAGCTGTTGCCAGGTTTTACCACGATTATAACTATACAAAACATGATCAGTTGGCTGTTCATCATCCACTATAACAAGCAGTGCACCAGAATCACCAATTTCATATTTATGTGCACCAGGTCTTGCAATGCTCCAAGTTAAGCCACCATCATATGATAAGAAAGTATCACATTGATCATATGGTAATAGATAAGGACCAACATTTCCAACACCCATTAAGACACCAGGAGCAGCAGCCGAAGAATAGACATAACCATAATTATGAGGTGAGGTAAATGAATGGAGGTGTAATGAGCAATTGCCAGTTTTCCAATTTTCATTTTCACCTATATCACAGTGAAATTTATCGCCTCTAAAATCTCTTTCAGGTGGTTTAATAAATTTCCAAGTTGAGCCATCCTCAAACGAAATCATTGATTTTACTTGTTTTGCTATATAACTATCACGATTTACATCTTTATAATTATCAACCACGTTTACTAAAAAAATACCACCAACACTTTGCACCTTTTCAAAATCAACTGAACCATCTTTATTTCTATTTGTATGATTCAATCTATTAATAAAATAATTTCCATCAGAATTCGAGGAAAATAATGTTCCAACAGTTGTTGATTCATCAGAAAGTACGTCTACCACCAAATGGTCTGTTGGAGATTCTAGAATTGTGTATGCGTTTTCTTTAAAGCCAGTATTAAGTGGGAAGAGCGCTTTGATCCACTTTTTCCCATCATTTGTAACATACATTGCCATATCAAAAGTGTTGGGATTTTTTACGGCAACTATCAAAAATTTTTGTCTAGCAGCAAGGCCTATAACACCCGAAACATCATGGCCAGTATCAAAATCCACAGGTGTTGGTGTACTCTCAAGAAAATTTTCAAACATGACCAATTTGAAGTCACTAAATTTACGAATAGCGTCATTAGAACCGGTATATTGTTTACAAAATATAGCCTTTTCGGGAGCACCGAAACCTTTTGTAGATACAGCCCATAAACAACTGTCGGTATCAGTAGCTAGAAGTTTTGGTGATGTTTCAAAACCATCTGTTGTATAATATGTCTATACATAAATAAATTTATATAGAAATAAAAATACGCAAATTTATTAATTATGAATGAACAAATTCAATTAGAAGAAAAAAAAGAAAAAGAAAATAAATTTTCACCTCGTCATGACATTCCCATTTTTTACACCTTGTTCCTCTAAATAAAATATAATTTTCTCTTTCTGCATGAAATGATAATACTTGGGCTAGTCTTGCAGGAGGAGTCTCGGTGGTAAACCGTATCCACGTTTTACCTCTATCATCTGTTCTAAAATGCTCGTTTCCCAGCGTTAATATATACGCCTATAAATAAATAAATGAGAGAGTGCGTATGTATGTGAACGTAAAGAGGATTAAGATTGATAAATATAAATCAAATAATAAAATTATATTCAAAAAAAGAAAAAATCAAATTTTACCTTTGTTCGTGAAAATGGATGCTCAACTAAACCGGCTGCTTTTTTACTAGGAACTCCTGTAACTGGAGAAAAAGAAGCACCCTCATCTTCTGATCTATATACATCACCCAATTGATCGAGATATAAGATATCCTTATTTTGAAAGACAATGAATGTAATAAAATTAATTATAATTAATATAAAATATTAAATATAATTGTTGTTTTAGAAAAATAATTAAAACAATTACCCCAGAATCTTTAAAATAAAAAAACCGCGCAGGCAAAGCGTGAAAACCCGATCTTTTAGGAGGATCAGGAAGCCCACCAGCACAAATAGATGTTAAACAAGTTAAAATTAATAATATCGTAATAATAAATAATGAAACTTTATTTTTTTCAATCATTATATTAGTTTTGCTATTGTTTTTAAGTACGAGAGCAGTCTTATAATTTATTGCTGACTGACTCTCTTTCGTCATAATGGTGGTGATAAGACCGACTAAAATAAAAGTTTTATAATTCAATCAACTGAACGAAATGATTGAAATTTAAAAAATTTTATTTGTGTTATCAGATATACAGATTTATTTATTTTAATACAAAATGGGAAAAGTTAAAATGAGTGAGGCTTAAAATAACAAATAAAAACCATTTTGATTATTAATATATATGTAATCGTTTTAAATGATTTTGAAGGATTCAATTAATCAATCCCGCCCAGTACATGAGGAATCGAATATATATTAATATTTTTTTATGAAAAATAAATATTAAAAAAAGTCCATTCTTAAATCCTAAAAGCCGTTATTAACATTACTTGATTTCATAACTATTGTTTCCTCCGTCAACATTATTTTTATCATCTTGCTAAATCATCATCAGCGCCACTAAAATCGTATTATATGGGGCATGCTGCAAGAAAACCAGACAAAGTGACCAAGAATTTCAGGGATCAAAATTTGTAATGTGATTATTAAAATTTCCCATTTGTTTAATATTAAGTGATATAATAGAATTCCTATATAAAAATAGTTAATATGAAACTCATTTACATCAGATCTACTATGGAACCCAAGAATTATAGCAACATTAGAAGTATTCTGAAGAAAGAACAAGGGGTGAAAATTGCTCCTTACATTTTCAAAATAAATGATACTCAGACACTAGAAACAGTATTAGAGAATTCTAGTAAAGAATCAAGAAAACTGGCAGAATAACAAATAATTAATTTTTTTAAACTTCGTTACTTTTTTTATTTACCTTTTATTTTCAATCAAGGTCATTGTTTAGTTTCTTTAACTTCAATTTGAGCAACTAATTGATCATTTGCTGTTGTAATTGGGTTAATTGAAATTTTAAACCATTGATTTCTTTTATTAATTCTTGGGGGGCCAACTCTTTTAGTTGCTTATTTTCCTCTTCTAAATGCTTAATTCTATCCAATAACTCTTGTTTTTGTCTTTTATGCCAATCCTTGGCCACTTCCAAAGCCTCTAAATGAGTTTCTACTTCCTCAGTTAGTTGATTTTTTTCTTCCCTCAAACCATTTATTTGTGTTTCATAAAAAAGTACCATTCTTCCATTTTGGCAAGGCAAAAGAGGAAGTTCCTTTTCATTTCCCTCTTCTTTACAATCACAAATGTATCTAGTCTTTAGCCTACAAATGCCAAAGAGTGGGATTTGGGACAAATCTGCCATGATGGCATTCATGTGTCTATCCCCTCCTGGAAGGCCAAGAAGCTAACAGTTTTTTATTTCGGATTTTTAGCCACACTTGAAAGTGGCGAATTTTAATTTTTAGACCACATTTTTGACTCATTTTGATTTGATTTTTTATTTACATATCAGAAAACGCCTGTAGAGGCTATGGATTTCTTAATTATCTAACTAACTTTTAGCTGTTTTTATTGCTTCTAAAGCTTAAAAAGCTATGCAATCTAAAAATCTAACCAAAAAAATCTAATGAAATTTTATACTACTCAGCTTTCCATTAAAAAAGGGCTAGCCCAGCCTATAAAGCCCAACTAGTATAACAATTATAAAAATCTAACCAAAATCTAACCAAAAAAATTCCAACCAATATCTTTTTTTACATATCAGAAACAGGCTCTAAAGCATTTCCAGAAAAAAATTGTCCTTTGATAAAAACGGCTCAGATCAAGTTCCTGATATACACCTAAATCTAACTGAAAAATTACAAATGATATCTTTTTTGCATATCAGAATCAAGCTCTAAAGCATTTCCCTGAAAAAATTATCCTTGGATAAAAACGGCTCAGATTAAGACCCTGATAAATTAAAAATTTCATGATCATACTCTTCAGAGCCATACTTCATAGCTTTGTCACGCACTCTATGATAGAATTCAGAGACATAAAACCCTCTAATATGCAAAGGGCAACAGCCAGAAACTGGGGCAGTAGGCTTACCGCACTCAGAGCATGGAAACCATTTTTTGGCTTTATAGTGAAAACAACACCCTTCAGGGCATACAAGATTTTCTGCAAATGGCACCAGAATTATGTAGATAGGAGGTATAATTATCATGTAGTTATCCACAAAAAATATCCGCAATCGCCAAATCGATTTCTAAATAAGGATAACACGCACCCAACCCACCAATAAAAATTGGATATTCTGAGGTTTCACGAAATTTGCAGATATTTTTTGTGGATAACTATATACATGATTATGTAGGTATAATCACCATACATTTTTTTAAATATAGAAATAATTATTTAAAGAAAAGATTTTTTTATATAAATAAAATAAAATGAAATGGTTAGACCAACATGGTAAAAAAGAATGGAACTTGTGAATTCTGTGGCTATACATGTGCAACATCTCAAAAGCTTCATGAGCATCTCAAAAGAAAAAACCCATGCAGACCTCAAAATTTCATACCTGTACAAGTCTCCATGGCTGAACCCGAAATATTTACTAGTTCCGCTCATACAGTGCCCTTTCTGGTCAAGAATCTCAATGACAGAAAGCCAGGGGAAACTGTTGAGCAATGGAGCTCAAGATTGTGAAAAAGATATAAAGAAATAACATATGATAATTATGATCAGCCAAGAATGTAAACACCTTTATAATGATTTAATGCAAGTTGATCCAGAAGCACTTACCCTGCAAAAACCCTTAGATGAGTCTGCCCATTCACCAGAAGAAGACAATTTCTTTATTGATCCAGAAATCGATCATGAAACTGGACCACAAGCTCAAAGCAAATCCACAGATACCCTGGAATTTCAGCATCTGAGTAATATTACAGGGGATCATGAAGAGAATTTAGTATTTTGAGAGCAACAGTTAGGCCCCGCACTTAAAAGATGGGCTGTAGCCATTAAAGACTAGTGCTGTAAATTATGATGATGGTAGTAATTGTATTTACAGCATATAAAAAGTGGTCACAATTACCTTTGCAACCACTTTTGCAACCATACTTTTTCCTTTTTTGGATTACAGC